CCCCAAAACCCCAAAACCCCAAAACCCCACTCAGGCAATATGTAGGTAGGGTAAGTACAAGGGAATAATATCTATTGTATTAATAAATTTTAAATAAGTTAAGAAAGCGCTCTTAATAATAGATAGATGGCAGATCAATTCACATACTAGAAAAAGAGAAAGGAGTTCGGACGTCACGCCCAGTTCGAGGACACCGAGACTAAGATCGTCGGTAGTGTCAACCCAAACTACACCCAAAAAGAACTTTATATGCTGAGAGATCCAAACAAGCTCGTGTTGGACAACATTCCACAATTCTCAGAGCACAGAGTAAGTATTTAAATATCCACAGATCTAAATAAAATGCCCCTAAAGAGGGTGTCTGGGTAGCTTATTTGCTATTTTATGGTCAAATTAACTTAGATGCTCATTTATTCGTGTTTAGGTGAACACTGAGAGAGTTGCTACAAACAACAGAGGAATGAAGCACGTCGTCGGAGGTAAGCACTTAATGCAACTGCCAGTTTTATGAATTTATTTGAATAGGTTGGCCCAAGGACTACGACTACACCGAAACAGGTGATGTTCAGAAGTATCAGAAGAAGCTCAACAGAGACCCCGCTCTAGGTTTCGGACAAGCCACAAAGGACTTAGTCGCAGGAGCCCAAAAATGCATCAGATAAAACAACGAGATTGATTTGTTTGAGGAGTATTTTAGCGGCGAACAACCAGAGCACCTTTCAGAGACTATCTCTACTAAGACTGTCATGATTTTCAAAGATCCCAATCAAATCAAGAGAGCAGTCACTAAAATCGCATGGCATCCTGAGTCAACAACTGACTTGAGAGTCGGAGTTGCCTATGCCATGTTGAGATTCTAATAAATGCCACCAAAGATGCCACTTAACTCCTACATCTGGAATTTAAATAATCCAAATTTCCCCGAGAAGACCCTTCAACCCCAGTCTGCTCTCTGCACCATGGTGTTCAACCATAAAAACAGTGAGGTCATTGTTGGAGGTTCCTACAATGGATCTCTGGCATTTTTCGATCAAAGAAAGGGAAGTTCAGGTGGTGTTATTAAGCCAGCTGAGACAACTCTCCTAGAAAAGTCTCATCACGACCCAGTCTATGATATCTATTGGCTCACTGTTGGTAAAACAGGTACTGAGTGCGTCTCAACCTCTACTGACGGTAGAATCCTCTGGTGGGATATGAAAAAACTCGGAGACGGCCCAGTCGATGAACTTGTGCTATCAGAAGTTTTCCAAGTCAACGACTAGCCAGTTACTAAAATTCTCGGTGGTACTAGTTTGGAATATAACTAGGACGCCGGTCCTCTTAAGTATCTAATTGGTACTGAGCAAGGGTATATCCTTCAAGCCAACAAGAGAAAGGCAGTTGAAATCTAAACTCGTTTTGGTATGGAATCTGGAAAGCATCATGGTCCAGTCTATGCCCTTCAAAGAAATCCAGCTCACACTAAGTTCTTCATGTCAGTTGGTGATTGGACTGCTAAGATCTGGTCTGAGGAGCTTAAAACTCCAATCATGTAGACTAGATATCACTCATCCTATCTAACTAATGGTTGCTGGTCACCCACTAGATGTGGTCTATTCTTCTTGACTAGAATGGACGGTTTCTTGGACGTGTGGGATTTCTTCTACAGACAAAATGAAGTAGCCTACTCACAGAAAATTTCAGACTCACCCTTGACTTCAATTTCAGTTATGTAGTCAATGGCTGCTATCGGAGATGCTGAAGGTACCGTCTCAATGATGAGTTTGTGCAGATCTCTCTACGATTAGACTCTCCAGCCTAAGGAGAAGGAAGGCATGGCAGCTATTTTCGATAGAGAATTCAAGAGAGAGAAGAATCTTGAGCAAGCCAAGAGACAGGCTGAGATGAAAAAGCCAACCAAGAAGGACAACAGTATCAATGACAAGAAGGCTGAGAAAATGAACCAAATCATTTATGATCTCGAAGAGAAGTTCTTCAGTGAGGTCTCCAAGGATGATGATCTTCAATAAATCAAGCAAAGAGGAGCTCACTACGAGGATCACTCACACCCAGTTGTGCAACAACCAAAGCCAAAGGAAGAGCAAAAGGCTCCACCCAAGCAGGAAGCTCCAAAGCAGGAGGCTCCTAAACAAGAAGCTCCTAAGCAAGAACCACCCAAGCAGGAAGCACCAAAGTAAGAAGCACCAAAGCAAGAGCCACCCAAACAAGAAGAATAGAAGCAAACTCCACCTTAAACTCCACCAAAGAAGCAGGAGATCACTCTCGCAATCGGACCTCATGTTTTCAAGGGTACCTTCACCAAGGAAGGAGAAGACATTCCAATCACCCTTCATTTTAACGTTGAAGAAGGTGGTATTCTTACTAATACTGAGGAGCAACAATCCGAGCAGGGCTATATTATCAACGGATTTGTTCAAGACAACGGTGTCTCATTCAAGAGACAGTTAGCCAACGGAAAAGAAGTAGAGTTCAACGGTAATTTTGAAAGCCAGCTAGTCATCAGCGGTTACTACAAAGGTACAGACGAGGAGTTCGACGCTGAAGGAGATTTCAGATTCGAAGTCGCTCTCTGATCACTATCAGCATGATATATAAATTGAAACATTGGAATTCCTATTATATATTTAAGTTATCTAATATCGTCAGATAAACACTATTTAGACTTTGGGGTTTTGGGGTTTTGGGGTTTTGGGGTTTTGGGGTTTTGGGG